CAATTTCTTTCTGCAAAATTCCCTATTTTTTTCTAGCCTCCTAAACCAAATTTTTAAAAAATTTATTTATCCTCTTGCTATTTTAATATCTCAGTTTTCCTTTCTCAGTTCCACCATGTTGGTCAAAACGTTTACCTCATCTCTCTGCATCCCCTGAATTCTAGGTGTACCATTCATTTTCTGGGAGATGCAGTTATTCTTTAAAGGGAAGAGATGCATGAATGGCTCCTGTCAAGTGACACTTTCTGACTTTTTTCCTCCAGAAATGGGGAGTGGAATCACTGTTGTGCTTGGGGTGCTGACTTTGGCTTCTCTTCCTTTACAACTAAATTACAATTTATAGATTGATGTAGATTGATGTAGAGGTATCATCCAGACAAGATCAGGGAACTTGGGATGCTGCTCAGTGGAATTGCTTTCACTCCTCTAGGGGGAGGGCTGGGGCTCTGATTCTGGCATGCTCCCTGAAACTGGAGCAGTGGGGTGGCACTAGCTGAGGTTGGGCATTCAGGACTGAAAGGACATACAGGAGTCTACTTGGCACTGGCCCAGAATTATTGCTTCTATTGTACCTTATTTGTACTATTTCTTTTCTGGGAAATATTGAAGCCTGTAAGGCAGCAAATCAATCATTATTCCTTTTAAATGACTGTTCTGAAGGCAGGTTAGGTTCCTGCTGAGACTTCTGTCTACCTTACCAAAGTTCTCCTTTTTCACAATGGTTGGGCTGAGCCCACTGATACAAGGCCACAGAAGTGAGACCTTGGAGGTAGAAGGGTTTTGTGCCCTAAGGCTTCATTCCTGTTTCCATAGAAACAAGCCAAGGGTGGTACCCACTATAGGGGGTCTTAAAGCCACATATACTTTGGAGAATCCCATCCCATAACACACACCACTCAACAATAGTTTTTATAGACATAATTTACTTCATTGTTTTGGAGGGTTTTGACAAAGGCTTTTCAATCCCCTTTTGATTATGTTTTTGCTTTCACACTTAATGGAAAACGATGACCAATTCAAGTCAGTCAAATTAAAGACTCTGAACAGATGAATTAAGATATTTTTTCACATCTATTACGTTTTTTACATATTAACATTTAATTTATTAAATGATTCCTTAGGATTTGGGAGAAAATTCAATTTCAACTAGGGAACTATAATTTTAAAAAGCACAGCTGTGACTTCAGCTCTGCAGAGGTCACTATACTCTGACTTTGGGAAATTCCAGAAAATTCTCTGAGCTGTAATTTCCTAGCTGGTAAACAAAGAACAACCAACCATCTGCCAAGTTCAAAAATTCTCTAGATACCTGGGTACAGGGATGCACATCTATAATGCCAACAACTGGGGAGGCCAAGGCAGAAGGATCGAAAATCCAAGGCCAGTCTCAGCAATTTAGTAAGACCCTCAGCAACACAGTGAGACCCTCTCTCCAAATAAAAACCAAAAAGGGCTAGGGATGTAGCTCACTGGTAAAGCACTCCTGGGTTCAATTCCTGGCACCAAAAGAATAAAAGTAAAATAAATTTTTAAAAAAATCTCTGAATCTATTGTGTTATATTCTTGCAAGAAGAAATTCTATGGAAAAAAACAGAATGTTGTATTGTCAATGATGATTATGTAGGATTGGTAATAAGAACTTCTATTTGCAGGAAGGTTGTCAGTAGTAACATCAGGAAGGAAAAAAGAGGAAAAAGAAAAATGACTACCATTTATCAAATTTTTGCAACACTGTCAAACAAATTCCAAGACCTTTTCACATATGTACACAATTATTTCCATTTACAGATGTGAAAACTGGCAGATAGGTTAAATAATCTGCCCAAGGCCATCCAATTGTTAAGTGGCAGAGTCAAGCCTTAAAGTCAAAGGGATTCTAGAACTTACACTCAATCATATCCCTGTATTACTTCTTGTTATTCATCAATTACACAAATGTTTGATGGACGCTGATTATAGGAAGACATTGAATTAATTCCACCTGAAGATCCCAAGATGAATGAGACAATGTCCTTTTCCTCAAGAAGCTTAAAATATACATGGCAGATACTCAGAAGTATGTGTGGAATGAGTGACTACTCTCAACCTAAGCTCTTTGACAGCCATCTCTTCTGTTCTGAAATGTTAGTGATTCCATTCAAATCAAGGCAAGGACAGCTATTTGTGGAAGGGATGCATGGATGGACCTTGGACTTAAGGGCCCACAAGGACACATGCAAGAATCCTGGAGAGCAGGCCTAAACTGGTGGTAGAAAGAATAGTGGGTGGGTCAGTTCTGCCTGCTCTGCCATTTTCAGTACAGAACTCCAAAGATGAAATTTTAACAGAGAATTTGAATTGGAACCTGGCTATACAGGTCATTCTGAAGAAAACCTGTCAAGGTAAAAAGACAGAATATGTTTTACTTAAGTTTGCTAATTTTCTTTATAACTTCTGAAATATAGATGGGTGGTATATGGCTTTCCATGTATCCTCTTCTCCAGGAAAAAACAACAACAAAAAAAAAAAAACCAAAAAAAAACCCTAGTGTATGATAATCTATGTACCTAATTTAAAAGTGAAACTTTAACAAAAATAATAAAACAATTATAACAATATATTGTTAATAAGACAGCCCAAGATGTGTGCTAAGTGACCAATGGGCAGTGTATTAGCCAGGTTCTTGTTACTGTAACAGATAACTAAGATAATTTATAAGGAAAAAACTTTTATGGTGGCTCAGTTTTAGAGGTTTTAGTCCGTGATTCATTGGTCCTGTGGCAAGGTGGCCCATCATGGTAGGAGTATTTGGTAGAGCAAGCCATTCATCTCACGCAAGGAAATAAAAGAAGAAGAGACTGGTGTCCTGGTACCTTCTTCAAGGGCATGCCTCCAATGACCAGAAGACCTCCCACTATATTTCATCTCTTCAGGTTTCTGCTACTTCCTAATAGTGTCAATATGGTCCTAAGCCTTTAACATATGGGGCTTTGGGGATCATTTTGAATCAAACTATAGCAGGCAGGTAGTATATACAGCATGAATACACTGGATAAAGGGGTGATTCAGGTCCCAGGCAGGACAGAGTGGGATGGCACGAAATTTCATCATGCTACTCAGAATGGTGCACAGTTTGAAACTTATGAGTTGTTTCTGGAATTTTCTATATAAAAATTTTGGAATTCAGTAGACTGTGGGTAAATGAACAGAGAAAGCAAAACCAATATTCCTTTCCACCTACCATTTCCAGATCTCTCCAAGTCAGTATGTTTACCTCTGATATTTCCTTCCTCTGTAATTGGCAATCCTACTAACTCAAAAGCTTGTATCCTCCAACATCATTTTTCTTTCTAGGAGCCTCCAGAATACCCTCTAGGTTCTGTGTGCACCCATTTTCCATTTGCCTCTGGAGTGATGGTTTCCTAAAACAGATCTGATGTTGGCAGTGTGTGGCTTAAAGCCTTCCAGCATTTCTTGGGGTTTTGTTTGTTTGTTTTAAAGAAAAAAGTTCAAATCTTTTTCTATGGTCCTTTCCACCCCTGTATCAGGCTCCGGCCTATTCAATCTCACATCACATTCATTTGGATTCCTTTTCTCACCAGGCCCTTGCTCCAGGACTTTCTTTCATTTTCTGGAACTTCCTGAGCATCTTCCAACTGAGGCACTCTTTCTATTCTGACTGGTTTCTCTCATATGGACTCTGATCTCAGCATGAGGAGGAGGAACCCCTGGTCTTGATCCCATAAGTCTGTGCTCCCCAGATTCTTGTTAGTACCCATCTCAAGGGCCTCTTACAGCTCCAACCCAAGCTTTTAGGATTGAATTACAATAATTAAAGTGAATTTCATTACTACAAAAGAATACTTCATTATTCCTCCAGTGACTATTGGGGGCCTATTTAGTATGTGCCTGGTTAAGCTCTGGACTTGGCCTACCTACTGGATTCTACATGCTAAATATTATATACATTGTCCTCTGATGTACATTCTACACATTGTGTAGGATATAATGAGTAGTATACCTTTACGTTGTGTTTTGTATACTTTGCTGTGTTAAATAGAATGTTACAATCTACATACAATAAGTATTATACATGATTAATTATATAGCTAATTATATGTACTACAACAATGTTTCACCACAATAAGAATTTAGCAAACATACATTCAATAAATGAATATAATATTTAACACCATATTCTATTCTAGGAATGACTGGTCATTGAGGATTTATTCTTCCAAACTCTTCACCTTTCCCATCCCTCTAGGATGGTTTCCTTCTTTTACCTCCTGTTCTAGGTTCTTTGTACAGATAAATTCAGAAGCTTATTCAAGTCTGAGCTCTAGGTCTGAACCCATGTGGACTTTAGAGTGTACCAGAGAAAGAAAGGCTGAATATGGGTGGTGGAATTGTGGAACTAGTCAAGGCCACTCCTGGGCTTGGAGGGAACCCTGCCATGATTCCCACATCACCCAGGGAGGGGTCCTGGATGGTCCTGGTGATCTTTTTTTTCCCCTTGAGAACAAACTTCAGAGAATCATGAAGTTGCAGAACTGGAAGGGGTGTTATGGACGGGGTGTTGCCCAATTCTCTGAAATCATAGGTCCTATTCCCCAAACCAGCCAAGATAGGGCACTCACTCTTCTGAATTCTTGGTGGCCACACTGTCTCCCCAGTTTCCTAGGATTGTATCCAGCTCCACTGCTTTTAGAACAAGTGTCCAGAAAGCTTGTGAGCCCCTTTCTAGAAAAGAAGGGAGGGAGCAAGGGAGGAAGGAAGGAAGGACAAGTAGGTGGGTGGGTGGATTATGCGTGAAGGGATAGTCTGGATAGTCGCCTGGGAACCATAATCCAGGCAGGCGGGGTTGTGTCCCTCCCGGGACCCTCCTCTCGCTGCTGGCTGCTGCGGTGGCTCCCACACCCAGGCCTGCTCCCGAGCACTTAGGAAGGGGGTAGAGAGCGGGGATTTGGGACCGGGTGGGGGGAGAACTGGGAGGGAAGAGGTAAGGGGAGGTGGGGAAGGGGAGGGCCTCAAAGCCGAGAGGAGGCGCAGCAGGCGCTGCAGGAGCTCCGCGCGGGCTCCGAAGCGATGTCGCTGCTGCCACCTTCCCTCGGGCCGGGGCTGCGCCGCCCGGGCTGAGCCACAGCGCCAGCAGCTAGCCGAGTGGCCGCCGAGCAAGATCACAGCGCGGGAGGATGGGCTGCGGCGGGAGCAGGGCTGATGCCATCGAGCCCCGCTACTACGAGAGCTGGACCCGGGAGACAGAGTCCACCTGGCTCACCTACACCGACTCGGACGCGCAGCCCAGTGCCGCTGGCCCTGACACTGGCCCCGAGGCCGGTGGCCTGCACACGGGTGAGTGAGCCTGCAGACCCCCACCTGGCCGCCCTCCCGGAGTCTGCGCCGCGGCCCTGGCCACCCAGAGAGAAGCCAGAGGGGTCCAGGCGGCAGGGGAAGCAAAGGACCCTTATGAACCGATGGGGGAGGGGGACAGTGACAGGACCTGACCACTCAAGCTGGGGTGTGGGATCGGGGTCGACAGTAGCCGCTTACAGAGGGCTGAGCTAATCCCCCGAGCTTCCCACCAACCCAACGCTCCTTTGCCTTGGCCAGTGCATGCGCGACCGACCGGGGAGGGATGGGTGGGAGGATTTACCATCTGGTCCATACGCCTACCTCACAGCCCACACCACGTCTCCCACCCGACCCGGTTTGCCTTTGCCTAGCTCTGGTCCAGCTTCCTCTCTGGCCACCTGCGTACCCAGTGGTTTCATCCACTGGCCACCTGGCCCCTCTCCTTTGATTTATAGACAAGACACCGGAGTAGGATCGCCTGGGTGGAGTCTTCCTGTTGCTTCCCTAATCCTTCCTGTTGGGCTTCCAAAATCAGGGCCAAATAAATGCATGCCTACCCTATTACTTTAACTTACTTTTCAGGCAGTTATTTAACAGTGCAGAACTTCTTTCCCTACCCCCTGTCGTCTCAATATAAGACAGGGCATAAATTTTTTTTTACTACAAATTGAATACTCTTACCTAGGTCATTCTCCAGCCACCAGAAATCTGATAGGATTTGCAAAGAACTTTCTAGTCCACTCACAACAAAGGATTTTTTTTTTTCAAGCAAACTCTAATAACTACAGAGATGAAAACTGTTGCTATGTATTAAACTTTGATCATAAATGTGTGACACTAAAAAGAAAAAAATCATTGCTTATTACATGGATGATGTCAAAAGCCAGATTGATATTTGGATTTTAAAAGTTTTGTTTTCTGACTGCTTTATATAGGCATTTTTGAATGATGAAATTTAAAATTTAAAAATAGGGTTAATTTGAAGCATAATGTGTATTTTATGGAGGAAGAAAAAAATGTAAACTACTTTTGAGACTAATAACGCTAAATCAATGCCTCTTAAATTAAGAGCTGCCATGTTAGCCTTGAGGATAGGACTCTTCATCTTTTAGGACCAATGCTGGTTTTGTTTAAACAAGATGGGGTTGGCTGTGTTGCCCAGGCTGGCCTTGGACTCCTGGGCTGAAATGAATCTCTTGCCTCAGCTTATTCAGTAGCTGGGACTCCGGGCATGTGCCTGGCCTGGCTCCTTTTTCCACATAAGAAAATTCACACCCCACCTCCCCACCCCCGTTTTTTTTTTTTTTTTTTAAACTGAGAACAGTCTGTGAAAGCTGTCAGAACACTGGATTTCTCTCTAAATTTCCTGACTCAGAGAAGCAATCATAACAATTATTTTGTGTGGCCAATGCTTTCATCAAGTTTCCAGATGGTGTGTTGGTCACATTCAGTGTCAAGATGAAGATAAGACATGAGCCTCTAAAGGGACTTGTACACTTTGGATGTAAAAGTATTTCCCAAGGAAGTAGTGGTACTTCTCTGCAGAGTTCAAGGCCAGGGCTGCACGGCAAGGAAATAAGATTGAAAAGATCTGGCATGAAAAAGAACAAAGTACAGCTTCAGAGAACGGTTGCCTTGGTGACTGGCCCTGTATGGTGTGAGAAAGGGGGGGGGTGAGAGGGAGGGAGGGAGGGAGGGAGAGAATGGATGTGAGAGTTGTTATGGACTGGATAAATATGTACATACATGTTCCTCAAGTCTTTCCCAACATTCATTCACTTATTTCTCTGCCATCCTAACTCAGATCCCATCCATCAGGAGATCTGATCCCTGCAACAGGTGGGGACTGGGACAGGCACGCTGTTCATGGAACTTTGCCAAACATGGGACAGTCTTGCCAGGCGGACAGTCCCGAAGATGGATTCAGTTGCAGCTCCAGGACAGCACTCAAATTGGCCAGACTCTTAGATGGGCAGCAGCATTTCAATTCCCTAGAAATTCCCATCAGCCTTGGAGCAGAGGAACATTTCTGAAGACAGAGGTTGAGCCAAGGCTTCCCTTGGAGTACACTGGTATTCTTGGGGGTCTCTGGAAGAGTGGCTTGATTCCTGTGGCTTTACAGCCTGGAAACTGGTCATCTTCAGTCAGTGGGACGTCTGAGAAAACTACAAATCTCCTGGATTTCTGCCACCCTGGGAAATTAGCTTGGATTCTTTATTTTTTATTTTATTTTATTTTCCTTTCTGCCACCTCCTCCTGCTTCACGTAGTCCCACCAGTGCTTTAGCCATGAATTTAATCCCATTAGGGGACACCTAAAGGATCTTGGTGACTATATGGTCATAGGAAGCTAGAAGATCAGTTTTTCCTGTTCCTAGCAGTCCGTTTCTGTTGGAGGGGGGGACAAATGGAAGTACTGGATTCAGGAGAGTCCAGATTGTTAAAAAAAAAAAAAAAAAAAAAATCAACCCAGTCCAGTCCAATGGTTTTGCAGTGGATTTTAGAGCCAGAGAGGGTCTCTGGAAGTGATATACCCAAGCAAATGGACTCTTGGTGAACTGTCCCAGTCTGCACACTACCTCAACCACTTCAAAGCTCTTACTTACTTCTGGTACCCTTAGTCCTCAAGAACCCTTTCTTTCTGGGCCCCAGTTACTCTCCTTTATTGTCAAATTGAAATCACCTTTCTTCTGGCTACCTTAACCTCAGGACCATAGAAGGTAGGGAATGGACCCAACTCTTCTTTGTGTCTTCTATGCTTAGCACAGGTGTGACACAGGTTGGTGTCTCATGAAGATTTTCTGAATGAGCAGGTGCTCTGTCCAAACCTGCCCTTAATTCCCATGTGCTCTTCCTAGATGCCCCCTCTTTAGTTCTTCCCTATAGTGCTTGCTGTTGAACTTCCCCACTTAAATCTGTTTAACCTCAGTCCCTCCAAGCACCTTTCTGATCCCATAGCTGCTGTTAAAACAAACAGGAAAGCCTCTGCCCAACTTTATCACACTCTGCTACAACATCTGGCCCAGCCTCAAAACTCCATAGGTCTCCACACCCCAATTCCATAGCCATGTCTACTGAAAAACTCCAATAGGCATATCTGCTTTGAAATCCCACTTTAATTTTTCATACTCTATCCAGATTGAGGGTGTATCATATGACAGTGTTCAGTAAAAATTTGTTGAATTAATTGTGCACTTCACTGTGGGGCAGGGAGCATGTTTTCACTTCTATGAAGGAAGGAGTATCTTGTCTCTCCTCCTCACTCAAAAAGTGATCCTAAGCCCCTGTGCTTGGAGATCATCTCTACTTGCTAGCAGAACTGAATTAAATTTTTATATTTGACTATTATGTAGGCTAGAATTTAAAACTTAGCTGAAGCCAGTGTCTGATATCCATTATGTCTCTATTACCAAGATCAGGCTCTCCGACAAAGAAGGAAATTAAATTGGTCTGACATGACTTAATCCTCATAAAATCAGTTTGCTGGTCTGATTTTTACTTCTGTTGTCAGATGGGAATCTCCAAGGAGAAGGGGAGTCTGAGTTTGCTGTGACCTAGCCATTCCATACATTAGTAACTTCCTAGCTTTGTCTCACTTTAATTGCAAGTCCCTTTTTAAAATTTCCCCTTAGGCTTTTCTCTAATATCTCCAGAGAATACAACATTTCAAATTATTATCGTATGAAAATTCCCTTAGTTTAAGGAAGTTTGAAGAATTAGAGACAGCAAAATGATTTACCTAAATAAAAGTCAAATAATATGACAAGCATTTAATAATTACTATTAGCTAACATTTATTGACAACTGATCAGGGGCCAGGCAGTGTACTTGGCAGTTTATGTCAATCATATTATTTAATGTTTACACCCAGGATAAGATAGGAACTGTTACCACCTTCCTTTTTACAAAAGGGATTGAGATTTAGAGTTGAGTACCTTTTCCAGCTCAGGACTGGGATCCAGCTGATTCCGAAGCCCACACTCCTAACTACTGCCTTTCTTGTTCATAGAGATTTGTTATAAGATTCTCTGTTGGCAGTTGATGGTACTCAAAAGTTTAGTACATCCTCTAGATGGTCCAGTCTCTCTGACCACACAATTTTCTCTGCATTGTCCCTGAGATATCCCATCGATATCTCTTCCCTAGGACAGGGGGTCTTCCCATGCCATTGCAGAGCATCTTCCCTGCGATTTCCACCTGGTAAAATCTGAACTTATATGATTAAGTCTTGAACAATTAGCTCCTTTCAATCCTTGAAGATGCTTTCCATCTCCTCTAACCTCCTCCAGGCCAGACACATGCAGTTCCTTAATCATTTCTCATGTCTCTTGTGGGCCTGACCATATTCCTATACACATACCACTAGGTTTGTCAAAGTCTTTCCAGATACAAGGGACCTAGGGTAACTCCAAACTCCTGCTGTCAGCTCAACAGCAGAGGGCACTTGGAACATTCTAAAGTGGCCACAGAAGGAACCTCTCTCCTCCTGCAGGTAAAATCAGGTTAGGATTGTTTTTCTGTTCTTGTTGTTGCCATATTACCTTGATGACTCACACTAAGCTTGGGTTTTTTTTAAAACCCTTAGATTTTTTTTTTCTAATTCAATTGGAGTTCTGTGACATTAGGGACATTGTATTTTCCCTGCTATATTCCCAGCACCTGGGACAGTGACTGGAATATAAGTGGCACTCAATAAATATTGAATTAGTTTTTTTTCCCCCTGTGAATCTTGCATCAGAACTATTGGTTTCAGTAACCACCAGTTGGGATTTTTGCATTTTTTCCTGTTAAAATTCAACTTGTTAGTTTCCCTTCAGTGTTTAAAATTGCTGATGTTGATTCATGTTATAGTGCTATAAAGAGAATATTCCAGGTTTATTTTTTTCCCCTGTGTTGACAGACTAAAGATGAAATACATTTGCTCTTCTGTTCCTTCAATAGACGTTTGGCACAAAGATAAAGTCAAGAAACATATCTTACCTAAGAGGTTAATAATGCAGG